AAAAAAATTATAACAATTATAAATTATTTACTAAACAAATAATTTAAGAGTTATTAATTTTTTAAACATTTATAATTAATTAAATAATTAAATTATATATCAATTGATTGAAATTTTATTAACTATTTATTAATTATTTATTTGTAATTATTAATATGAATGGTTTGTAAAATTATATATAACAATTATAAATTATTCAACTATAATTAATTGAAAAAATCAATGATAAATAATTGAAATAATTATTAATTCTTTAGATATTTGTAATTAGATAATTAATTAATCAATAATATATTTATCAATTTGTTTAAAAATTAAACGAAATATTTAATTATTTATTAGTAATTATTTATATCAATTGTTTCAAAAAATTTATAACAAATATATTTAGTTATAAATAATTGAAAAATCAATAATAAATAATTGAATAATTATGAATTTTTTGTGTATTTGTAATTAATTACTTAAATTATTTATCAATCGCAAAAATTTAATTAACAATTTATTAATTATTGTTTCGTCATTATTTATATCAATTATTTATAACAAGTTACAATATATTATTATATTAATTATTATAATTATAACAGTTATAAATTGTTTAATTGTAAATAAATAAAAAATAAATTTTAAATTAATTCTTTAGATATTTATAATCAATTAATTTAATTGTTTGTCAATTGATTGAAATTGAATGAACTATTTATTAATTTATCTATTTGTAGTTAATTATCAGTATGAATTGTGTTTGTAAAATTATAACAATTATAAATTATTTAACTATAAATAATTGAAAAAATCAAAGATAAATTACTATGAATAGTTATTAATTCTTTAAATATTTGTTATTTAAAAATTACTTTGACAAAAATATTTGATAAATATAATTAATGGAAATTCAATTAACTAATTATTAATAATCTAATATAATAAATTAATTACCTATATTTTAGTAATAAAAAAAATTGTTTCTTATATATAAAAATATTAAAAATAATGTTAATAATAATAAAAATAATTGTTATAATAAAAAATGACTATTATAATAAAAAAATAATTTTTGGAATTTTTTTTTAAAGGAGCATATTATAACCATACAGCATCTGTAAAGTTCGCGAGACCTCTGCGGGTTTCTTTTATGTAATACTTCTTACGAGTTCGTATACCTTGTTATGAAACTGACAACATATAACACGACTATAAGAAGTTTGTGTGTTGGTGCTAATGAACTACGTTTACCTTGGTTGTTGGTTCCTTCTTCTTTTTTTTTCTTTTTTTTCTTTTTTATTATTATATATATAAATTTAAACTCGCCGCGATTTTTATATCAATTTTATCAAATCGTCTTATCTATTCTCAAAATAGAAATTCGCAATTTACTATGCAATTTGGCATAATTTAATGCATCGAATTACGAAAAAATTCGTTTGTTTCTCATTTTGCGAAATATTTTGTTTCATAATATTAGATGCACTCATTTAATCAGTTCATTATCTATCTTACTGGAGCACATTGAAAAATTAACATAATTAACAATTTATTTATCACTTTAATTACCCTATTATTCGTTTTTAAGATCGTCAGATTATTTCGTTCGATTAATTTAAAAATATATTTTATGTGAATATATTTAAATAAATAAAATAAATAGAATAACATTTAAATAAATATAAATAAATAAAATAATAATTAAATAAATATAAATGAAATATTTTATTATTTATTTTTAATAATACTCATATTTTATACTTGTCCTCTTTCAAAGAAAATAAAAAAAAATTGTTATTATATATTTTATAATTATCGATAAAATATTGCGGATCAATTACTCGTAATTTGCAGTTTTACAAATTGAATCGATTTGCGCGTAGGAAAAATTTTTCTGATATTAATAAAAGAAATATTGTGCCGTATTACAAAAAAAGGGTGGAGTCCTAGTTTACCTTGATTTTTTTTTTTGCAGATGACTCCAAAGCTCGTTGTTTGCTTCTCTTCTGAAATGAGATCAATTAGTGGCATTATTTTTGCTCTTCACATAAGAGAGGCCTCTTTCAATGCAATAGCGAAAGTAGAACTATATATATGAGTTCAAATAGAAAAAGAAGAAAAAAAAAAGTTTTATAAAACTCAATGACTTGCATTTATTTTTATTTCAATTATTATTATATACGCGAGTGCATTAAATGTTGAAATATATGTGTGAAAATATAATATGACGAAACAAAAAAATAAGAGAGAAAGAGAGAAAAATTCATTTAAAAAAAAAAAAATATTCATCAATTTTTTTTATAGTTTTGTAAATTTGTCGTTTCACTTATTTAAATAAATATCTCGTTATAATAGGCATACTAATCTTATATTTGAACAAATATGTTTGTAAAACTGATTTCTCAATGAAAATACCAATTAGTGAAAATATTTTTTTAATTTTTTTAGAAAATTTTTGTTTATTTATATTTTTAAAAAATTTTCAATAATAAAGAAAAATTATTATTATTATTTAATACTAATAAATAAATAAATAATTAGTAAATAATTAATAAATAAAAAAAATAGAACAAATAATAAATTATTAATAAATAATATAATAATAATATTGTATTATTTATTTAACACCTTATTATTTATTTCAGTATTTATTTATTATTAATATTATTAATATTATTAAACATATTATTTATTATAAAAAAATTTAATTCAATATACATTTGATAATAACAATAAATAATAAATATCAAACAAAAACAATCAACAAACTATTTGTTGCTTAATGAATAAAAAAAAATAGTTTTTAATTTTAATAAATTGTTGATAATAATGTGAAAAGAAAAAAAAGTTATTTTCTACTTTTATTGAAAAATTGATTAGTAAAAAATATATTGTAATTTTAATTAATTTAATTTACTAAAATTAAATTAAATTAAATTTTTGCCATAGAATAAATTAAACAAAAAATCACTTCACGCACTTATTTTCTGATTTTTCGATTACGGCAACTTAATTTTTTTTTTTTTTTTTTTTTTTTTTTTGAAAATATTTTTGATTGGATTTTCTGCTTGGCCAAAAATTATTATTTAAATCGAATCACCGAATCGTGCGACAGGTGAGAGTGAGAAATGCATCTTGGTGGGCAGTAAACTCGGGACTAACAAGATGAGTATAATTCGTATCTTACAAACTCTCGAAACCGTCCCCAAGGTCATCCACATTTTACTAAAATGTCTTCATCCATTGAAAAAAGATTATATCAGTTTTAAAAGTATTGGAAAAAAAGTAAAAGGATTTTTTTTTCACCAATTTCTCTGAATCATCAAAAATTGTGAAATGAAAGAAAAAACAAAAAAAAAAAAAAAATTTCTGGAATTTCCATCATGCATAAGGGACATTTGAAAATTTAAACATTTGAAAATTATATTCAAAAACAAAAAAATTTCCATTTGGAAATATATTCTGTATTTTGATATTATAAACACAATTTTTTTGTTTTTTTGAAACAATTAAAAATTTGGGATTAAAAATTTCGATGGAAAATTTAATTAATTAAATTAATTTAATTTATTATTAATTTAATAAATAATTAATTAATTTAATTTATTTAATAATTTATTTATTAATTTATTTAATTTTATTATTTATTTAATTAATTTAATTTAATTTCGATGGAAATTTTTGATTTTGATTTTTTGTTTCTTATAGAAATATTTGGGGTGGAAAACTAATTATATAATAATACTCTATGGAGGTGGAATATAAAATAAATATTATAATATTGTCATGGAAATAAATGGGAATTTATAAATTACGTTTTATATTAAAATATAATGATATATAATTATATTAATTATTAATAACTAATTAATTATAATAATAAGCATATAAATAAGGTAATAAAATAAAACAAAAAAATATGCAATTAAGTTATTCAAAAAGCAAAATGATCGCCGACAGGTGGTAATTTCTGTATCAAGATCACTTTATAAATCTGACTTGAAAGGAGGTTCATTTTCATATCTCCAGATGGTACCACTGATACTCACAATAAGCCAACTTTCTTTTTTTTCAAATAATACTTTACGATATTGTAAACATTTACAGAATCCACAAAAATATAATTATTCTATTTTTTATTATTTTCTTTTATTATAATTCGATTTCTATTTTTATTCCTTTATTTCTATTCAATTTTATAATCATTCGAATGCCAAGAAATTTAAATTATTTTAAATTTTACATCTAACAAAATTTTCCACCCAAATAAATGTTTTATTTGAAACAAATATAATATATATTTGAATTAAATAAACGTGTATTTGTCTCAGAGCATAACTTTTTTATTATTTGGCGTAAATTAAAGTTTTATTTTTCATAAATAAAAATTTTAATTAAATTGATAAAAATTTATTTGCAACAAATATTTATTTTAAACAAATACAAATTTATTTGCAACAAATAAATCTTTATTTTCAATAAATAAAAATTTATTTGGCTCTAAGACAAATATATCTTTTCTCTGGGTAAATATTCAAAATAATTTCAACTTTTACTTTTTTAGTTTTTTTTTCTTTTTTGAAAATTCTTATTAATTAAATTAATTATTTTGTAAAAATAAAAGAAAAAATAGAAATTAAAGAGAAAACAAAAAAAAAACTGGAGAAAAAGAGTCAAAAGGATCAAAATTTCTTCATACTGTGAATTACCATAAAATTTTATGCAGCGTATGCATCATAGAGGTCAAATAATTTTTAAACCTAGATTCATTTTTCTTTAGAGATCATTATGCAGGATGACGCCACAAAGTCTTCATTTATCATAAATTATTCAAAGACGATTCATGTGTATATATGTCATTAAGAAGAGTGTAATAATATAATGCGCGATGATTAATAATGATTAATGGTGATTAATAATAATTAATAAAAAAAAAAAATTCGGGAATGTGAAAGCATAAAAAATTTGTTTAAATTTTTTATTCTTTAATAAAATTTAAATTACACAAGGGATTAATATAAAGATGTTTTTAATTTTCACTTAAAATAGTAATTTTAATTGTAATTAATTTTATTACACATTTGAATATATTAGATTTATTAAATTTACTAAGATATTAAATTTTTTATTCAATATACAAATATTATACAAGTAATATACAAGTAGTACAAAATATTATACATTGCAATGCAATTAACCCTTAATTCAGTAGTAAGAGACAGAAACAGTCAGACAAAAAAAAATCATATAAAATTTTATTTTCAGTGATAAAAGTCAGTTTTAGTCAGACCAAACTTTGTTAAAATCTTGTAATTTTCATACAGCCAGAGAAATATTTTATTTGAACCAATTATAATATATTTGAGTTACATAAATGTATATTTGTCTCACAGCCTAATAGCCTATTTATTTGGCGTTAATAAAATTTAAATCAAATAAGAATTTCTTTAAATCAAATAAATATTTATTTGAACCATATAAAAAATTATTTGAACTAAATAAAAATTTATTTGAACTAAATAAAAATTTACTTGAATCAAATAAATATTTATTAGGCTATGAGACAAATATATTATTTTTCTGGTTGAAGCATTAGTATAAATTTTTGTAATTTTAGTTGACCAGTAGTTAATTTACTTTTTAGTCAGACAGAAGTGTATAATATTTTCTAATTTTAAAATCAGTAGAACAAGTAAATTTCAGTCATACGAAAATCTGTTAAAATCTTGTAATTTTGATAGCAGTAGTATAAATTTTTCCAATTTTAGTATACAAGTAGTGCAAGTACATTTTGGTGAGACGACAAAACTTTATTGAAGTCTTGTAATTTTTATAGCAGAATATATAATTTTTTTAAAAATTTTTGTATACCAGTAGTAAAAGTATATTTCGGTCAGACACAATTTGTTTAAAGTTTTTTCACGATCAGTAGAACAAGTTAATTTTAGTCAGACTAAACTTAATTAAAATAGAACATTTTAGTCAGACCAAACTGTAATTTGTAATTAAGTAAACTAAGTCTTGGAATTTCGATACCAGTTGTATAAATAGTAGCAATTTTTTTTAATAAGTAGTAAAAGTACATTTCAGTCAGACAAAACGATATTTCTAATTTCAAAACCAGTAGAACAAGTAAATTTCAGTCAGACATTGGTACTTGTAATTTTACTATAAATAATAACTTTTATAAGTAGTACAAGTAATTTTTACTCAGACTGTAGAAATTTTTTTCAATTTTCAAAAACAGTAGTAAATGTACGTTTTAGTCAGACTCAAAAATTCGTGTAAAAAAAAAATTTGATACTGCTAATAAATCTCAATGTTATTATAAAAATTTCCCTCATAAAAATCGAAAATTCTTACAAATTTTAAAATAAAGCTTACAAATAATATGGCTACTTTAAATATTATTCACATTACATAAAAAATTGTTTTTAACGTCCAATGTTTTTTTTTTTTTGGTTATTCAATGTATGACAAAATTCATTTTTGGCTTTTGTAATAATATCAAAAATATTCCAGTAAATTATGCAAAATTTTCTTAAAAATAAAAAAAAGAAGAAGAAGAAGAATAAAATAAAAAAATAAATATTAAAATAATTATGTTCCACCGGAGTCACTCTCGTCGTTGTTATAATGAGTTTAATGACTTGTCTAGATGTCAAGCGCCTCCAGCAAATGGTTGAGCAATTCGAATCACCTATAGATTATTATTTGCAGTTGATCTACTTCGGATTGTCTGAAGGTAGACCTTTGATGGCAAATGCCCCTCGAAATAATGGTTTAAAAACTTCCAAAACACTCTGTGTTCTTAGTGCTGAGTTCTGAAAAAGAAAAATTTCAAAATTAGTAATTTATAATAATTAATAAATTAATTATTTAATTTATAATTTAATTTATTTTTTAATTTATTTATTACTATTATTATTATATTATGTTTATTATCATATTATTATAAATTATTATTTATTTATACATTGAAAAAAAATTTATTTGATAATAACCGATTATTTGAATCAAATAATTTTTTTTTTCACAAAAAGAAATATTTTATTTCAACCAAATATAATATATTTGAGTTAAATAAACGTGTTTTGTCTCAGACCCTTCTGGCCTATTAGTTGGCGTAAATAAAATTATTATTTGTCATAAATAAAATTTTTATTTAAATAAAGTAAAAATTGATTTGAAAAAAATAAAATTTAGTTGAATTAAATAAATATTTATTTGGCTCTAAGACAAATATATCATTTCTCTAGGTGCAACGTATTATTATTATTATATTATTATTATTATTATTGTTATTATTATTATATTATTATTTAAATGTGTTATTTAATTATAAATTTAATTAATTTTACCAATGAATGTCAACAAAATAAAAAAGTAAAAAAAAAAATTAAAAAAGACTTTTATTTATATTATGTGTATAATAATGTACTACAAATCATTTTGATATCAATTATTCATGTCCGGGTCATGTAGTTGATTTTTTTTTCCTCTATTCTTTTTTCCCTCTTGAAGTAGGGTAGGGGAAAGGAGGAAATGATAAACAACGCGATAGTTTCAATTCTATATATGCGTATATATAAAATATAAAAAGTATATAAAAAGGGGGAGGTATTTTTTATGCATTTTATAATCGAGGACAACTGGTCATATTTATTTATACCTATTAGATCGAAAGACTTGAGACGAATCTTGGACATGTATCAAAAGTTATTGACGCACGACATAGGGTAAAGTGCCACAGGACTTTTGCAATCAATTTAATAGTGAAGGGGATTTTGATCTAAAAATTGTATGTTATGTGAAAATGCCCACTTTGCGAATGCCGGTATTTAGACGCGCATATAATAAATATAGTAAAAAAAAAAAAAAAAAAAATTTGCTAAATTACTATATTCGTTTCGAAATATATAAAAGTTGAAAAATAAATTTTATACATTTTGATATTATTTTTAGTTTTATCATAATATTTTAGTTTTTAGATGAATGAAAAAAAAATTTACTCATGGAAAAAAATCTTCACCTAGAACAGCGATATATTTCCCTAAAACAGCGAAAGTTTTCTCTATTCTAGAGAAATATATCGCTGTTACAGATAAAGTTTTTTTTTCCGTAATAGAAATTTTTGTGTTCTCGTAAATATAAACAAAAATACTATTTTTTTCTAAAACAAAATTACCCCTTAATTCATTGTATACTATATGATCAGTGATTAATATATTGTAATTAATAATAATAATAATAACAAATAAAAAATAAAAAAATTTTCAACTAATTAAATTAAAATTAATTGTTAACAATTTTTTTTTTTTAGTTTTTATTATTTTTTAGTTTTATTTAACTCTAAAATATTAAATTCAAAATATTTTAGTTTATGATTATATGATGAAAAAAAATCTTTGGAACAGCGATATGTTTCACTAAAATAGCGAAATTTTTCGCTATTCTAGAAAAATATATGTATAGTTGTTTCAGATAAAGATAAAGATTTTTTTCTGTGTATTTTAAATATAAATAGTAAATATATAATAAATATAATAATATAATAATAATAATAATAATAATAATAATATTGTACTTAATATTTATCTACTTATGATAATTAATTTTTGTCCAAAAATTAATTTTAATTCGCAATTAGTTCTCAAAATAACTGCTCTTTATTTTTAATAAAATTAATGGTATACTATTATTTATAATAAAATTATTTTCATACTGTTATTTACAGTAAAATTAATTATATTCTATTATTTATATAAAATAAATAAATAAAATAAAAATAAAAAAATAAAATAAGAAAGATGAAAAAAAAATCTATATATTTGGCATATTAATTATTATAATTCACTAATTACCATTATGAGGCTACCGACGATTTTACTTAAATTCATAACCAGCGAAAATCCTGAACCAATAATTTGTGTTGGAACATCTAATTCAACTTTTTTCCTGTCGAATTCAGGGATATCCTCCTCTGTTGTTGAGCGAACCTATTACATAGAAAAGAATCTCAATATTTTGTTTTTTTTTTTTATTTTCAATGATTAAAAAGAAAAAAATATTATAACACCAATGTCATAAATCCCAAATAATTTGTGTGCAAGCATTATTTTTGAAGTAAAAAAAAGCGAGAAAAGAGGCGTAAAAAAATAAATACAGCATTGAAAAATTAAAGAAAATTTTTTATTATATATTCGATTACAATTAATTTCTTACAATAAAAATTTTATTTATTTATTTAATATTTTATTTTATTTTTTTATTTATAATTAATCAAAATTCATTGTTTTTGACATTTTTCAATATGCAATTAATAATTAAATGTAAAAATCAAATGCAAAAAAAAAATAAAAATAAAAAAAACAAATAATAATAAAAACAAAAAAATTTTATTGAAAAAAAAAATGCCAGTGCAATAAAAATTTAACTCGAATTTATATGTAAATAATTAATTAAAAATTTATTATACTATCTACTTGTTGTTTTTTTTACATTTTTTTTTATTACATTCTTCATGAATATTTTTTTTAATACAAATTTTCTATTGCCAAAAAAAGTGCTTCTACATAAATAAATAATTAAAAAACAATTTATTTATCAATTTATTTATTGAAAAAATCGATCAAAAAAAATTAATTATAAAATTAAAAACAATAATTTTTATTGAAATAATTATATATTTAAAAATTAATTTAATAATTAATATTTACAATTCGTTAATGGTAATAGGGATAAATAAAAAAGTATAGTCATCAAATTGTAAATATATATTAATGTTCACAAAAAATTGTATGTAAAAAGTCGTAAAAGTTTATTTGACATGATATTTTAGCGTCTATTATATAGGAGCGTACAAATCCGCTATTTACAATAATTTACACATCTCTCTCTCTCTCACTTATATCCTATCTAATTAAGTATACAATAACTATTATTATTTACAGCATTCTTGTGGAAAATATATATATTATCGGATTGCTAACATATAATGGCCAAATCGGGGTGTTGGGAATAGGTTTTTCTCATTCGCACGTTTTCAATTAAATTGTCTGTCTGAGGGGGGACATGGGTTCCATTTATCGTCCTTTTTTCTACAAGAGAGAAAAAAAACAGAAAATAACAGTAAAAAATTTTTTGTCATTTCATATGAAGCTCGTGTTGACCGTTTTTTTTTGTCCAATGTCCATAGTTGTTTTTTTCATGTGAAAAATGTATACAAAAGCTCTTAATAAAAAACCCTGATAATTATATGTATTAAAAATAATTAAAAAAAAAAAAAAAATACACTAAAGCGAAAATGTAATAAAGCGATAGCAGAATTCGAAGAAACAGAATCGAAATTTCAATTAATTTTAAATTTAATAATTTTTTTTTTTTATAGAAAAATTAAGAAAAAATATTTTTCAAACATATTTTCTAAATCATTTTAAATATTTATGATTAATAAATGAATCTTTTTAGCAGATTCATTATTTTCTTTTTTCAACATACTTTCGACTCCATTTCGACAGATATGAAAATGGCAAGAATGACTGGCTAGACATTCATTGCATAATGTCAGATATTATTAAGCATCCTGGTTAGAGAAATAGAGAAGCCAAAGTCAGCAAAATAATATAATTTATCCATTAAAAAAAAAAAATGAAATAATTCCCATTGATTCATATTCGAATACGAGTTATTTTATAATAAAAAGCATAAATTTTCTTATTCAATAAATTTTTAGTAAATTTTACATAATGAATATATATTTTTTTAACAACTATATAAAATTTTTATAATCTTTTAACACATTTTTTTTAAAACAATTTTAAATTTAATAAATTTTAATATTTAATTACTCTCCTTATTATATATTATTTTTATTTAATTAAATAAATAATCATTATATTTCAAAAGAAACCCCAATTAAAATGTTTAAATAAAAAAATTGATCAACAATTATCGGAAAAAGAAATTTTTTTTTTTTAAATAACTCGTATTTTAATACGAGTCATTTTCCTCAGAAATTAACAAATTATGTTTCTTGATAACTAGTTCTTAATTATAAACTACTTTCTCTATCAAAAAATCTATATAATTTACACTCTTTTACCTTTACATATTAAAATAAAGCAAGCATTCAAATTCTATGATTTCTAATAAAAAATAAATATTTCAAAAAGCCAATTTTTGGTTATTTGAATTCGTTTCGTTAAAATTGTTTCTTAATTATCAATCATAATAATTGATTTAATGATTTTTAATTTAATAATAATAATAATAATAATTATTATTATTATTATTAAATATTAATATTTATTTATTTTATTAATATTATATTAAAACTGTTATTATTAATATGATATAATAATATAGTATTATTGATATTAATTAAATTATTTACATGAGCGATTTTTTTAAACAATTTAATTAAATTTCAAAAATTCAAACAAATAACCAAAAAATGTACAGCGAAAAAAAAAAGTGGATGATAAGGATGGTAATGAGAATTAAATGAAGATGATAAAAAAGGAGAGAGGGGGCAAAAGTTGGGGGAGGATTTTTTTTTTCTAGAGAAGCAGCCTCTTCTCAAATTATATTTTATCGATGCAATTTTCCTATATATAAAGAAAAAAAAACGTGCGAAATAGTCATTAGGAAAAAAAAAAAAAATGAAAACAATTTTTTTAATAACTTAGTATCCACCGTTTCCATTTAAATTCGCAAATGCGGCAAGATTAAGGCCCCCATTCGTGCCTGCATCAGCACTAAGACCAACATCATGATCATCATCACTAGAACTCACATCATCATTATGCGAATTTCCATTACTGCTTCCTCCACTTAAATCGCTACTTGATCCACTGAGACTTGTCAATGTTGAGAGAATATTACCCGAGCCACCGCCATTTGAGTGATCTAAAAAATTAATAATCATCAGAATTGAAAATAATTTTACAAATATTTAAAAAAAAAAAATTTTTAATAAACAATTTTTTTAAATTTTATTTTATTAATTAATTTAATTTATTTTTTTTGTTGAATTTTTTTTTAAAACAATCTTTAATTAATGTTCTGTTCTTTAAGTATTTATTTATTTATTTAATATTCATATTTATTTATTCATTATACGGGAGTAAAAAGTATTAAAAACAATTTTTAGAATAGTTTTTTTCCGATAGGATTCCGACGGAGTTCCGACTCTAAAAATTTTGAAAAAAATTAATCGGAATTCCGTCGGAATTTCACCGGAAATTCTTTTGAACTCCGATGGAATTCCGACGGAATTACGTTGGAAGTTCCGGCGGAATTCTGATAGAACCTCCAAGGGGCACTTTCCGGGGAATCTTTCAAAGTGGGTAAATAAATTTTTTTTTTTAAATCAAATAAAAATTTATTTGAATCAATTAAATAATTATTAGGCTGTGGGACAATTGTACCATCTTTCTGGGTGTACTTTTAAAAATATTGGAAACAAATAAAAATTGTTTAATTAAAAAGTTTTTAAATTGTTTAAAAATTAAAAAATTTAATTGTTAAAAAAATAAAAATTGTTTAATTAAAAAGTTTTTAAATTGTTTAAAAATTAAAAAAATTAATTGTTAAAAAAATAAAAATTGTTTATCCGTTTATATTAAATAAATAAATAAAAATACATTTAAAAATGTGGAAACAAAATTTTTAATACATTGCAAAAAAAAACCATTAAAAAAGCAAAATCTGATTTTAATTAAAAGTAATTTTTTTTAAATTAATTTTTTTCCAGTTTGAAATTATTTTCTTTTTTTTTGTACCTGAACTACTGGAACCACCCGACAAACCGCCGGACAAACCACCTGAAAGAGAACTTAAAGGTGCGAATTTCGAGGCAAAAGCATTGGAGAGACCAGCTTTTGCACTCGAAAAGAATGTAGTTGCACTATTTATTACCGGACCGATACTTGCAGTACCGGCCTGAATTTTTTGCTGAACCAAATTACTGATAAAATGACTGGTTGCCGAGTGATGTGGATCAATTCCATAAGCTAAATTTTTCGCCTTATTACCCTCGTCCAAAACTTCCAAGGCTTTCGTTTTTGCCTCCAAAAAAGCGTCCAGTTTCTGCAAAAAAAAAATCACAACAAAAAAATTAATTCAAAATATTCTTATTTATTTATTGGTAAAAATATGCCAAGTTTCTCAATTTTTGTTTTTTATTAAATGTTTCCACAATTAAAATTTTTTTTCTATTTAATTTAATTTTTTTTATAATTTTATTGAAAATTAGAGAAAAATTTTAATTTTTGGTTTACTTTAAATATTTTTGTTAAAAATTCTTGAAATACAATAAAATTGATTGCTTTGAAAGTATATACATAAATATAATTATATAATATAGAAACAATGGAATCTAAGTGGAATTCTTTAACACACGAGCTCGAAAAAAACAAAAAAAAAATCTGTGAAAATTTCTATATACATAATCGATAATAATGATTGTATAATTTTTGGTCGGTTCAGTTATAAAAATAATTGTAACAAGGTGGTAGAAAGTTAGGTAAGAAATTCTCATCTTACATTCTTTATAACATTATAATGCCAAACAGTATTAAACATATAAAGTGCATTACGGAGTGTTTATTCAAACATGGTATTTCATAACTAATTACATATCGAACTTGCTTCACTGAATATATACGAGTCTAGCATAATCAATTAACACTTCTTTTTTTTAATAATTTATGTAAAAAATTACTTTACAAATAAAGAAAAACGGCAAAAACAAAAATTTTCAGAAAAATACAAAAATTTTCAGAAAAAAACAAAAATTTCCAGAGAAAAAAAAATTATTTATACACGTAAATATAATATATAAATAATAGTTTAAAAAACTCTTTTTTTTAAAGAAAATTCTTAACAAAATTACTAGTGAAAAATAAATTTTTCAACAAATTGTAAAGAAGATTTGGAAAAAAAATTTTAAATAATAATGCAAAATAACACAGAAAATTAAAAGGAATTAAAATAAGCTGCAACGCTTATTATTTTAATCCAATTTTGTTTATTTTAATACCAAAATGGATTAAAATAAGCAAAATTGGATTAAAATAATAAGCGTTGCAGCTTATTTTAATGCCTTTTAATTTTCTGTGAAAAAAATTGTAAAGAAAATAAAAGATGTATAAGGGATTTTTTTAGGAGTAAACAATTTTAATTGTGATTGAAAATATTTAAATAAAAAAAAATTGCAAAACTTAAAAATTATTAAGAAAATAAAAACATTGGATTTTTTTTTAGGCGTAAACAATTTTAAATAAAATTAATTTTAATTGTAATTAGAAATTTTTAAATAAAAAAAAATTGCATGAATAAAAAATTATAAAGAAAATAAAAAAAAACGGGATTTTTTTGGGTAAACAATTATTAAAAAAGAAAATTAATTTTAATTTTTAATTTAAAAAATTGCAATGAAATCAAAATAAATTCAAGTAACTTACTCCAAATACAAAATTGAGGAGTCCATTTGTCACTCCGAGTTTAACGACTCCTATTTTTCTCTTATCTCTTTCTGCTCTGTCATCGTCAGCCGCGACTTCGTCGTCCACAACATAAACCTAAAATCAAGACAATTTGTAAATTAAATTATTTTGAAAAAATTATTTTTCAAATAAATAAATAATTTACAGTAATTAAAAAAAACATGCACTGCAACGTTCGAGTTTTTCAATTCAAACTTTGACCATTTTTTTTCTTATACTGTTTTTTTTGTTAATTTATTATAATTCAAAAAATTATTTTTATTTCTAAATATAAAATTAAGATTAGAAAAATTAAAAAACTCCGAAAAAAATTAATATATTTTTATTTTACAGGCCATAAAGTTTAATATCGAAACACCAGACTTGTAAAATAAGCTTACCTTAAATTAAAAGTTAGTCTGCTTCCAAAAATCGAGGATTCACCAATTTAAAAAAAAAAAATTTTTTTTCAAAGCTTGAACCGAATATAATTAATTATATTAATTAATTATAGAAAAAAGTGACTAATTATTAAATGCAATAAGCTGCTTCTGCGTTAATTTAAAAAAAAAAATTTCTACTCGAAAATAAGAAATTAACAAAGTCATTTGTATGTAAATTTGAATTTTTTAAACTTAATTTACAGTTAATTTTTTATAAATTATTTTATGTCAGCAAAAAAAAATGATTTTTTTAAAAACATTTCCAAATCGATTTCACTTAAACTATATGGCTGGAAATACAGAAGCATTAATTTTACTTCTAATTTATTTATGCACCGTAAATAGTGTTAATAAGCAGTTTTGAATATTTAAGCGTGAAAAAAAGTATAAAATACTGATATAAAGGAGTTAATATAATATTAATTCCTTAATTACATTTTCTGAAATTGATACATTAATTTGTCATTAATTTATAATAATAATAATAATTATAATAATAATAATTTATTCATAATAAATTAATTTACCATAATTCGAAATAATTAACTAAAATAATTTTTTTTTCTAATTATTTCGAGTTAATTTAATAATAATAATATAATGACAAAATAATGGCAAACTTGAATAAATAATGAATAAACAATTTTTTTATCTTGGTAATAATTTTACAATATTTTTTAATTTTTCATATGAAAAATATAAAAATTATGAAAAAAAAAGTTTGTATTTATAAAATCGGTACGTTATTTTGCGATGTATCAGTGTGGCGGGGGTTTTTTTTTTTTTACGTTTACTTTTTTTTTTTTTTTTAAACCGGTCTTTACAGAAACGAAAACGAGAGTGATCGAATGGGTCAATGTATTGGATACCATATATATATAAATACATCCAAGTTTGATATTTATAATTCACGAAACGGATGAAAAAAAAAACGAAAGTACAAGAGGTCAATCATCTCTTTCCTGTCCGAATTTTATATCACTGGGATTTCACAATTATTCTCACATCATGCGTAAAATTTCCATGGAAAATTACTTGCATGCAATAAATAAAAATTTAAAAATATAAAAAAAAAATTACTGTTATTTTTTTTTATTAATAATAATAAAATATAGTTTGCCAATTTTTTATTTTTATTATAATATATAATTTCGATTAGAATTTTCAAAAAACATATAATTTTATCTAAATAAATTGTTTCGTCACTAAAATTATAAATAAGAAAAAATAAATCAGAGCCAAAGATTTGTTGCGTCTGACTAAACTCGACTAGATCTACTTTAATCGCACGAGTGAACATTCATTGCCAGGCATTGAAATCTCCAGCGCCAATAGGAAAACATCAATGCTTTTCAATATTAAACTAAATTTTCTCTGCAAATTTAGAAAAATAATTAAATAAAATGTCCACTAACAAGTTAATTTAAAATTCAGAAAATTTGTTATAAAATTTAAAAAATATTTAATAATTTAATATTAAATAAATATTAAATTAAAATTAAATTAAATATTAAAAGAAAAATATTAAAATTAAATATTAAAGAATTTATAAAATTTTCCTTCAAAGAAATTAATAATATTTTCCTTATAGATTATTTAATAATTAAAAAATACGATTTAATTAATTTCAACATATTAAATAACTGTTCACAAATTAAACAGTGGCAAAAGGAGTATATATGTTAAACTTCCCACGTTTTTGAATTATTTTAATATCAGTTCAAATATGTTAACATTTATATTTTTTAAATATTATTCACTGTATTTATAATGAGAATTTAAATGACAATTTTCTTCAATAATTTCAGCCTACCTTCCTTTCTATTTTGAAATTATTAACAATTCATAACAGTTCGTTGCTCATAAAAACAATTGAATTATTAATCACCTACTGTTGCTTCTGTTATTGTTCCTAAACAAGTAGTTGCAAATTTTTTTATTTGTTATTATTATTATTATTATCATTATTATTATTTATTATATTTATTATTATATTTATTATATTTACTATTTATTGTGCAACTAAAATAACATAGAAAATTCTAAATGCTTATTACAAAATATAAAAATAATTATATTAATTTATATTTAAAATACACAGAAAAAAATCTTTATCTAAAACAACTATCCCACGTGAAAAAGTTCCTGGGAATCCACTCCCTGGAAATTCCAATCGGAAATTCCTGTTGGAAATTCTCGTTGGAAATTCTCGTTAGAATTTCTTGTTGGAAGTTCCAGCTGTCAAATTTCTATTCGGATCAATTATTTTATCATTTATCATCTATTTAATCTAATTTAGTTAAATAAAAATATGAACAAAAAAAATTATGTTTAATATATACGAATATAATTATGTGAAAATTAGTTTTCAAGAAAATTTCGTGAAATAATTTTTAGGTTAAGTTTGTTGTGGTTTTTGAGTTTATTTGGTTAAATTAAAATGTACTAAAATAGAAATATGCTTTAATAAAAAATTAGTTAAACAACAATTCTGTTATAAATGAAAATTCTGTCTAATGAAAATTTCGATTTCGATGGAAATTTCATGAAAAGGAAATTTGGTTTGATGCAAGTTTTGTTAAATAGCAATTCAAGGTAAAAAATTTTTTTTTAAAATACACAATTTAAATTTGCGAAGAATTCTAATTAATATTATTTTAATTAATACAACTTTTAAAACTGTAAATTTTAAACTAAAATTATAAAATTGTTTTACTTTTCCAGGTTTTCTTTCACTGGAAAAATATTCTCTGACAATTCCAAGTTTTCCTTAACCTTAACAAATAGCAACTCTGGATTTTATTTTGCTTCATGTAACTATTAAAATTTCCTGGAATTTTTATTTGAATCACGAAAATTCATTTTTGTTCAATTTCTTCACATTATTTCAATTATATAATCGAATTTACTATTGACGAAAATTTCACTAATGCAAAATATTATTTGACTAAACATTTATTTAATCAATTTTCCATTTGACAAAATTTACGCTTAATTAGCAAAATAAAAAATTTTTTTTACTCGAATTGCTATTTAACAAAACTTGCATCAAACCAAATTTCCTTTTCATGAAATTTCCATTTAACGAAATTTTCATTAGACAGAATTTTCATTTATAACAGAATTGTTGTTTAACTAAATTTTTATTAAAGCATATTTCTATTTTAGTACATTTTAATTTAACCAAATAAATTCAAAAACCACAACAAACTTAACCTAAAAATTTTTTCACGAAATTTTCTTGAAAACTAATTTTCACATAATTATATTTGTATATTAAATATAATTTTTTTTGTTCAGATTTTTATTTAACTAAATTAGATTAAATAGATGATAAATGATTAAATAATTGATCCGAATAGAAATTTGACAGCTGGAACTTCCAACAAGAACTTCTAACGAGAATTTCCAACAGGAATTTCCGATTGGAATTTCCAGGGAGTGGATTCCCGGGAACTTTTTCACGTGGGTATATATTTTTTTAGAATAGCGAAAAATTTCGCTATTTTAGTGAAACATATCGCTGTTCCAAAGATTTTTTTTTATCATATAATTATAAACTAAAATATTTTGAATTTAATATTTTAGAGTTAAATACACAGAAAATTGAAAGGCATTAAAATAAGCGTTGCAGCTTATTTTAATGCCTTTTAATTTTCTGTGTAAAACTAAAAAATAATAAAAACTAAAATAAAAAAATTGTTAACAATTAAATTTAATTTTGGTTTAATAAAACCAGATTAATTTGGCATTTTATGAAAATTAGGGGAAAAAAAAATATTTATTTATAATGGGATTATTTTGAAACAAAATATATAAAATTCAATGATTAAGTTAAAAAAAAAATTTGAATGCGCTTATAAAATCAAGTGTCGCGTGCGATCACGTTTTATGTATCACATAATAATAATATATATATGTATCTACTTTTATGAGCGCCCGGGACTATTACACACGACCACTTTCACTATTAACTCGCTTCTTTCCATTTACCTTCTCTCTTTCCTTTTCTTAATAGTTTTCTTCTCTTCTTTAATACATTTATATATATATATAAACATTTCTCCCAATCTTTCTTGGTGTCGCTATTTTTGTGAATAAAACATCTATATAAATGCATCCGCAATTTCACGGAAGAAACTTTTCCATGCGTCCATTAAAACGACTCATTATACACAATTTTTGCTTCCGGAAGCAGAAAAAAATAATGTATTTTGTAAAAAAAAATCATTTTTTCAAATATGTATATGTAATAGAGTATCATAATTATTAATCTTTTACAATATGATGATTTTAATTGTAAACGTGAATCATTGTAATTTATAACCGATAAATGTAACTTCATCGACGAAAATGTATGTAAAAAATGTAAAATAATGAAGTAAATATAAAAAGATGAAATAAATGTCAAATTATGCAGCAAATGTAAAATAATGTACCTAGTAGATGTAAAATAATTTAGAAAATGTAAAATAGTAAATGTAAAATAATTTAGCAAATGTAAAATAATTTAGCAGATGTAAAATTATGTAGCAACACAGAAAATTAAAAGGCACTAAAATAAGCTGCAACGCTTCTTATTTTAATCCAATTTTGCTTATTTTAATCCATTTTGGTATTAAAATAAGCAAAATTGGATTAAAATAAGAAGCGTTGCAGCTTATTTTAATGCCTTTTAATTTTCTGTGAAATGTAAATGTAAAATAATATAGTAGATGTAAAATAATTTAGCAAATGTAAATGTAAAATAATGTAGTAGATGTAAAATAATTTAGCAAATGTAAAATAGTAAATGTAAAATAATTTATCAAATGTAAAATAATTTAGCAAATGTAAAAGAATTTAGCAAATGTAAAATTATGTAGCAAATGTAAATGTAAAATAATTTAGCAAATGTAAAATAGTAAATGTAAAATAATGTAATAAATAAATATATATGTACATGTAATAATGTAAATGAACTATACATAAATATAGAGTGTATATTTAAATTACAGGCTGACATACTGTCGCATTAACTCACTTCATTTAATGGACTGAGATCATCCTCGGCTGCACGTTTAACAACAGGACTGGAGGTAACGATACCAATGACTAATAAAAGTCCACAGAGAATGCAAGATGTCTTCATTTTTCAAATTTCTTCCTATTCTCTATCTCTTTTAAATTGATTTTCCTGCAAATAATATTTTATTACTAAAAAAGAATATTCATTTTTATATTTAATACATTTTTCTCAATTAATAAATTACAGTGCAAATCAAATTCATAAAAATTTTCAATTGTGTTAGAAACAAATTTTTTCAGCAGCTAAAATTTAATTTTTTTTTCTGTCGTAATGCTATTCAGTTTTTATAAAAATTTAATTAATAACAATTAAGGAATTTTATAGTTTATTAAGCGTAATTATTTATTTATATTCTCTAAATTTGAATTAGTAAAAATGTTAACTAATTTGAATTAGTAAAAATGTTAACTAATTTGATTTAGTAAAAACATTAACTAATTTAAATTAGTGACTCACTTTTTGCTTCTGAATTAGTAAAATTTTATTAATTATTAGTAACTTTTACTAACAATTAGTAAAATTTTACTAATTCTAAATCAAAAAGTGAGTCACTAATTCAAATTAGTAAACATTTTTACTAATTCAGATTTAGAGAGTAACTAAATAACTAATAGTTAATTACATTGGATCAAATAATCAATCAAGTAAATATTTACTTAAACCAAATAATAATTATTTGATAATAGTCAAGTAATCGATTATATTTAAATCAAATAAATTTTTTTCAGTGTAATATAATTAAATAATTATTAATTTACTAGTATAATTATATAACAAATAATTAATTAGTACGATTAAATAATTACTAATTCACCAATGTAACTAAATAACTACACTGAAAAAAAAGTTCTGGTTAAAGTTACTAGATGCGTTTGGTTAAAAAATTTCTAGTTATTTTAACAAGAAAATATAGTTAAAAAGACTAAACAGTTCTAGTTAAATAAGTATGGTTAAATTATTCTGGTTAAAATAATTCTGGTTAAAAACGCGCGTTCGCGGACACTGCATAGCGTCTGTTGTTCTTTTTCGAATAGTTTATCGTGCGGATCGCAAGAATGGATGAAAAAGTTAACCAAGCTCTGGAAAATTGGGGTTTGGGAGAATTAAAAGATCTGTTTAAAGGTTGGTTAATTAATTTTATAATATAAGTGAAAAAATTGTTGACGAACGGCAAACCCGTTCGTGTGGAAAATAGTTTGAAGGTTATGTTGAAAACGTGCTCGACACGTTTTATCAGAATTTTAGTTCTGAATAATCATATTTAAATAAACATTATTAAGAGAATTGCAGTGTAAAGGTGTTATTGTTTGATTGCATTTATATGTACATAATACAAATTTTTTTAATTCATATTTTATAATATTTTATAATATAATATAATAATAATAAATTTAATTAATTCTCTGATTAACTAGAATTTCTGGTAAGATTAACCAGAAATTTTTTTACCAAAAATTTTTAACTAGAAAAATTCTAGTAAGATTAACTTGAAATTCTAGTAAGATTAACTTGAAATTCTGGTAAAATTAACCAGAATTTTTTAACCAAATTTTCTAGTACTTTTAACCAGAAAAAGTAGTAAGGGTATATATAACTTTTTATTCTGGTTAGATTAACCAGAATTCTGGTTATTTTAACCAGACTTTTTTTTCAGTGTAATAGTTAATTAGTGTAATTAAATAATTAATATTTAACTAATTGCAAAAATTAATCATAGTTATTTTACTGCATAAAAAATAATAAATTTTTAATCCAATCAAAACAGATATTTTTCCTTTTTATTTAATTAAATCAAAATACTTTTTTTTGTTTATAAAAAATGTTTTTAATCCAAAAATGTTTCTTTCACAAATTAAATTAAATTGGAATTTAAAAAAATAAGTAGTCTTCGACTAATAATGTATGAATTATTAAATAACGATTAGTAATATACTAATTAAAAGAATTACAATTTTAAAATTATAATTAATAAATTATAATTAATAAATTATAATTAAAAAATTTTAATTAATAATTTTTAATTAATAAATTATAATTAAGAATTATAACTAGTAAATTTCAGTTAATAATTTATAATTAATAAGTTATAATTAATAAATTATAATTAAAAAATTTTAATTAATAATTTTTAATTAATAAATTATAATTAAGAATTATAACTAGTAAATTTCAATTAATAATTTATAATTAATAAATTATAATTAAGAATTATAACTAGTAAATTGTAATTAATAAATTATAATTAGTAAATTATAATTAGTAAATAATATTTAATATACAATTACACGTCAAAAAATCTTTACCTGGAACAGCGATACATTTCTCTAAAATAGCGAAAACTTTCACTATTTTAGTAAAACATATCGCTGATCTAGGTGAAGATTTTTTTATGCGTGTATTAAATACAATTTATATTACACCAAATATAAATATAAAATACTAAGAGGCCTCAATAGTAATTAATAATTTACTATCTAGTAATTAGAAACCAATTAAAATTAATAAAGTAATTAATAACACGAATCGATTTTCGAAATCTATTTTTATCATCGCGACCTTTCACCCATATATTGCAACAAGAGACTAGGACTATACAATTAATTCCAGTTATGCTAAGAGAATCAACGAAAATTAAGTGGTTTAACTTCAAACGATCTAAATGGAGAAATACTCGTACAACTTGCACGACAACTTGTCTTTCATGTTAAAAATAACAAAACGTGCAAAGTTCAAAATAAACATTTTGTAATAGATTCCTTTATATGTATTTCTACTAAAATAACGAAATATAAATGAAAAATTTAGTTTTCTTTTTAAACTAAACATTGATAAATCAATCATTTTTAAGCGAAGAAATTCAAATTTCTAAAATACAGAGAACTTTTTTTTTTAATTATCATCAATACACCAAGAAAATTTATGTCTAGATTCGAATTAAACATTACTTACATAAGTTTACAAGTAACCTACAAATGAAAGTGCATATATGAAAGTATAAACTTTTACATAAAGTGAATATTATCAGCAAAATATAAATATCAGAAAAAAATCAGAATCACTAACAGAAAAAATATATAAAAATGAAAAAATAAAATCTCACTTTTTTTTTAATCTGCGAAAAACTATACAATTTGCGAGCAACAAATCATTTTATAATAAAAAAAATAACTTCAAAAAATTGACACTTTGTCACTCCAAAAAGTAATCACTTATTATTAATTATAAAAAATAAAAAAAATCACGTTAGCACGAATTTAATAAGAGAAGAAGAAAAAAAGTATAAAATTAAAAAAGCGGTGACCGTTATTAATTTTCCACTACTATAAACACATACACGTTTTTTTTTCTATAATTTTCCGGTAAAAAAATTTTTTGAATTTTTTTTTTTTTTGCGAACACTTACAAGAATGTTGATAAATTTTTGTTTGCTTTTTTTTTTTTTTTTTTGAAGTGCGTAAGAATGCGTGTGACAGATGTGTACCTCACGGAGTGCGAGGCTCGTTTGAGGATTATAGAGAAGGAGGTGCCCAAGTCTTACACCAGCAGGCGGCAAACGAACGCGAGCATGTGTGTCCGTTCGTCTCTCTCAAGAATCGAGAATCGAGAATCGACTTCTGTCTTTATTTCTATACACTCTCCTACACGGTGTATAATATAATCCCTCCCCCCCCCCTTCACTTCTTCTATATATGGGTGAGGTTGACTTCAAAAGTTGAACCCATTGATGACTATTATTGAACCCATTATAATGGAGGGGAAGAAAAGTTAATCATTAAAATACATTGTGTTACAAGATTTTTAATATTTATGTATATGGTACATTGTACTGGAAGCTGTATTAAAAAATCTATGTAAAAATTTATGCACATACATATTTGCATAATTTATATATAGAAAAAACAGTTTTTATGATATATATTGATTTATTCCACGCCAAAGTGTAAGTTTATCTGCAATTGCATCTCCGATTTTTTTGAGATTTTTTTTTCTTTTAGTACTAATTGAGATTAGTTTCCATGAATTTTTTGAAATTTTTTTAACAAGCTGTTTTCGAGTTATGAAATTATGAAAATTGGAGAATTTTCATGACTTTTAATTTTTGAATGCTCATAACTTCCTTAAAAATGCATTAATTTTAAAAGTCTTTTTTTATTCAAAATGTGTGTTTTTAAACGTATTTTTCAACAAAAATATCGAAATTTTTTTTTAACGATATTACTATCAAATTTTTGAGTTTTAATGATAAAAAGTCATTTTTCTCATTTGATGTACTGATCGATTTTTTTCAAAATTTTTTCAAAAAAACTACTTATTACGAAATTTTTAAACCCAAATTATTTTGCTAAAAAAAATTGTTTCCAAAAATAGCAGCTCTATACTGAATTTAAGACAAAGCTTTTGCATCGATTAAGACTTCAAAGGAATCTGAATTTTAATTACATCTTAAATTAAGGAACGTTTAATTTTTAAGCTGTTTTCTGTTTTAAAGTATAGAACGATTTTTAGTTTTAAAAGTAATTAAATTTAAGACAAGACTTAATAAAGAATTTTATTTTGAAATGTTGAAAAGAATAATCTTATTTTCAGAGAAGTAATACAATGATTTTAAGAAAATTATTATTATTATCTTATTGGATAATGTTTTATGTGATATGTAATATAAAAATTAATTTTAAGTAAAAAAAGAAAATTTTTTTTTACAAAAGGAGAGTCTTATTTTAAGAAGCAATATTTTTAAGAGAACAGTCGTTAAATTTTTAAGATAAGAAATATGCTGATTTTAAGAAAATTATTACAGAAATTATTACCGATATAATGGGCAAACGATTTTTACAATATTTTTGGAATTTTTCAAAAATTTTTGAATTTTTTAAAAATATTTTCTGTTTTTTTTTATACTACGTACTTTTATATATTTTTATGCGCTGATTACGAAAATCATAGTGACAATACCAAAAAATTTGATTTTTATAGTGAAAACCATAAAAAAAAGTCCCAAAATTTATGGTTTTTTTCGTTTATTGGGTAAAATATGCAAAATTAAAAAAAATTTTCAAACAAAAGTTATAGATCTCATTAAAATACATTTTTTTATCGTATGCATTTTTTTTAATTTTGCATATTTTACCCAATAAACGAAAAAAACCTTAAATTTTGGGACTTTTTTTTATGATTTTCACCATAAAAAACAAATTTTTGGGTATTGTCACTATGATTTTCGTAATCAGCGCATCAAAATATAAAAAGTACACTGCAAAAATTAGCCGTATTAAAAGTGCAAAAAACGTCTTGTTTTAAGACACATTTGGTGTCTTAGACGCGAAAAACGTCTTAAAACAAGACGTTTTTTTGCACTTTTAAGATGTCCAGTTTTTACAGTGTACGTAGTATAAAAAAAACCGAAAATATTTTTAAAAAATTCATAATTCAAAAATTTTTGAAAAATTTCGAAAATATTGTAAAAATTGTTTGCCCATTATCGGGCTAGGCTTAAAAGTTTCGTGATAAGAAGTAGTTTTTTGAAAAAAATTTGAAAAAAATCGATCAGTACGTCAAATGAGAAAAATGACTTTTTATCATTAAAACTCAAAAATTTGATAGTAATATCGTTAAAAAAATCGATTTTTTTGTTGAAAAGTACGTTTAAAAACACACATTTTAAGAAAAGGACTTTTAATATTGATGCATTTTTAAGAAAGTTATGAGCATTCAAAAATTAAAAGTCATGAAAATTCTCCAATTTTCAAAATTTTGTAACTCGAAAACAGCTTGTTAAAAAAATTTGAAAAAATTCATGAAAGCTAGTCTCAATTAGTACTAAAAGAAAAAAAAATCGGAGAAGCAATTGCAGATGGACTTACACTTTAGTGTGGAATACATCATATTTATTTTAACTATGTAACAATTTAATTACCTTATTAGATAATGATTTAAGTGATGTAATAATATATATAGACTTCTTTAATTAAATTTTTGAGTTTTGCAATCAAAAATTGCAAATTTTATTTTACGAATTTCGATTTTTTCAATAGCAAAAAGAAATTCTGCCTCGGTTTACTTTTTCAAACCGTAAAATGAGTAAAATATCAGCCAATTTTTTTGACAAAAAAAAATTTTTTATTTTTGGGCTTAAAATCTAAAATTTATTTGAAATTCAGTCTTATGGAAACGTTTTCGGTGGAAAGTGGATTGAAATTAAGATTTTGTTTTTACAGCATCCAGTTCTTTGAAAAAAAAGTTAAAAAAATATAAATTTTTTTTAATAAATAAATAATATTTTAATAATTATAAAAAAATGTTATGCATAAAAATAAAAAGAAAATAAAGGAAATCTAATTTTTTTAAGAGAGAAATCAGTCTTTTTTGTAGCAATATTTTTAAGACAACAGTTGTTAAATTTCAGAAAGGATTCTACACTGAAAAAAATTTTTTTATTTAATTCAAATAAACGGTTACTTGATTATTATCAAATAAATATTTATTTGAACCAAATAATTTTTATTTGATTCAATTACAGTTTATTTGATTCAATTACAGTTTATTTAATGTAAATAAAAATTATTTTTCGTTCATGTAAATATTTATTTGATAATTGTCAAGTAATCGACTTTTAGAATTAAATAAATTTTTTTCAGTGTAATAATTAGCTCTTCAAATGTGATGAATTTAAGAAAATTATTTTGCTAAAAAAATTGTTTCTAAAACTAGCAGCTCTATACTGAATTTAAGACAAAGCTTTTGCATCGATTAAGACTCAAAGGAATCTGAATTTTAATTACATCTTAAATTAAGGAACGTTTAATTTTTAAGCTGTTTTCTGTTTAAAGTATAGAACGATTTTTAGTTTTAAAAGTAATTAAATTTAAGACAAGACTTAATAAAGAATTTTATTTTAAATGTTGAAAAGAATAATCTTATTTTCAGAGAAGTAATACAATGATTTTAAGAAAATTATTATTATTATCTTATTGGATAATGTTTTATGTGTTGTAATATAAAAATTAATTTTAAGTAAAAAAAGAAAATTTTTTTTTTAAGAAAGGAAAGAGTCTTATTTTAAGAAGCAATATTTTTAAGACAACAGTCGTTAAATTTTTAAGATAAGAAATATGCTGATTTTAAGAAAATTATTACTGAAACACAGTAAGACAATTTTAAAAATAAATTAAGTAAATCTATTACTGAATTTAAGACAAAATATTTTTAAATAAATTAAAAGTTAATATCATCTGAATTTCAACATTTCGTAAATTGAAAAGTACGAACAACTTATTTTTTATCTAAATTTTCATTTTTTTTTTTGCCTTTTTGTCATGACTTATTTAAATATTAAAAATTTATCTTAAAATGAGAGTTTGTCACTGTACCTTATATCCAACTATATTTTTTTCTCTCGATTAACAAATAATATAAATACTCTACACAAACATAATTATTGATGATTGATAATAATTCAAATGAAGAATAAGTAGGACGATAGGTTTTTTTTTTTTGAAGTCACAGTAATAGCATATAAAAATTGTAAAAAAAATAATTAGTCTTGTAATAAGTTAATAGTGCCATCGGTTATGCCTGATTGCTTATTTTAATTCTAGTTTATAATTAAAAATTTACATCGTTGCTACAGAACAAAATATGCTATTTATGCAGGTATTATTATTAATCACACAAAAAAATTAGATTGATATTTCAATTAATTAATTAATTAATTAATAATAATAATAATAAAAATAAAAAAAATAATAATAATAATACAAAACAGTTAGAAGAAATTCTTAATTTAAGTCACGTCTCAAATTAATGTAAAATAAAAGTTGCATTACAGAAATTTAGTTATTAAAATAAACAATGCTCTTATTTTGTTACAATTTTAACTTATTTTAATTTTGTTTGAGTCTTAATTTAAGACAGCTTTGTCTTAAATTAAATGATTTTAGTATTCAGTCTGTTTTATCATATAATTGTCTCAAATTCAACATAACAATCGACGTAAAAAAAAGGCTAGAAAAAAATTATAAAAATCTTAAAAAGATTAAAACTTAAAATAAAACTCATCCAGAAAAAAAAGAAAAGATTAGAAAAAGATTTCAAAAAATATTTTCTTTAAAGAATAATAATAATAATTAATATTAAAAAGAATAATAATAATAACTGTTACCTACTCTCAATTTTTTAAAAATAATAAAATAACAAAAAAAAATGTAATTTATTTTCCCTAGAGAAATTGTTTGAATAAATTAACTTTTGCAATCATCTTTGCTATAATAGAAAAGATTTTAATGATTCCAAAGTGAGAGTTTATAAATGTTTTAATATTTAAAAAAAACAATATAAATAATGTTGATGACAATAATTATAATAATAATAATGTAAAAAATAAAAAAAGAAAAAACAAATTAATTTATTAATTATTATAATTTAATACAATTAATAATTAGTAATTTATAATTTTATTATTATACTTATTATTATTATTATTTATGATAATGTGTAACAATTTATAAAGTATACACAATTTTTTTTTGCACCTAATTGAAAAAAAAATTGATAAAGATTTTAAATGCAATAAATGAAAAGAAACAAACACCTTTATTATTTATTTAACACGAGA